AATTTCGATTTCATCTGTACTAGTAGCAGACATGAAGGCCCAGGCAATGAAATTACCTGTTATCATGAAATCGGAAGGAAATGCTGGAACAAAAATCAATGCGCTCATCGACTCCAGAGCTCAGGGCAAGTTCATCGACCAACAAGTTGTAAGAAGACTACAACTCCGTGAATACCCCCTGGCAAAACCAATACCAGTATTCAATGTCGATGGAACTCCCAACCAACTTGGATTGATCCGGAATTACGTAGAACCCACGGTACAAATTGGCAACAAAGAAACCAAAGAACGAATGTTTGTTACTCACCTAGAAAAGCAAGATGCTATTCTAGGAATCGATTGGCTACAACATCACAACCCACAAATTAACTGAAAATACGGGATACTTGACTTCACCACCCAAAGAGTTGTTATGGAAGAAGAACCAGACTCGGAAGGCAGAATTATCCAAGTATCCTCTGCTGACGACACAAGACTCCTCACCAAACATCTTCTAGTTCAATGCGGTGGAGGAGCTGTCCCAACGAAAGGATCCCCAGAAGTAGCAGGATATGACCTTACCGCAATAGAAGACTCAGTCATTTCCCCTCACACTTGGGCAAAGATACCAACCAGATTACGAATGACATCTCCACCTGGCACCTACCTACGTATTGCCCCACAAAGTGGATTAGCACTCAAAGAAATCGACGTTGCAGCAGGAGTAGTTGACAGAGACTACACTGGAGAAATACAAGTCATCTTGGTTGATCATGGGAATACCCCTTTCACAATCACCAAGGGCGACCGCATCGCCCAGGTAATTGTAGAAAGAATCGCCCAACCACCAATCCAGGAAGTGGAAGAACTACTCGCAACGGACCGAGGAAACCAAGGCTTTGGGTCAACAGGGATAAATGACAGGTTCCAGCCAATGTTGGATACCACCATCTGAGCCCTCTGTATGGCAAATGACCCAGAAGCACCACCCCTCTTTCGTATCTCATCAACGACTATCGAACAAGATGACTAAATAACCGGGGACTACGTAGCCGCATGGATACCAAACTCCGGTAAAATCCACACTATTCCAGTTACAACCACAGTCGCACAAGCAATACTGGGGCTCTCCATTCGAATGAAAATCAATCCAGCCATGACTCTCGCACAAGAAGCAGAAGCGCGGAAGCCCGAGACAACGCTCCCTGATTATCTCCAGTCCTACTCTTCAGTATTCAAAAAGAAAGCTGCGGAAAGATTTCCTGAAGAAAGATCCTACAACCATGCCATTGATCTTAAACTGGAATTTGCCCCTAAGGATTGCAAGGTTTACCTGCTGTCTCCGCTAGAAGAATCAAAGATGAACGACTTCATCAATGAGAACCTACGGAAAGGATACATTCGTCCATCAAAGTCGCCTATGGCTTCCCCCTTCTTTTTTGTTGGAAAAAAGGACGGAGATCTGCGTCCTTGCCAAGACTATCGCTACCTCAACGAAGGAACAGTCAAGAACTCCTATCCACTACCACTGATATCCGACCTCGTCGATCAAATCAAAGGATGGAAACGCTTCACCAAGATGGACCTCCGGTCAGGGTATAACAATGTCAGAATCAGAGAAGGAGACCAATGGAAAGCGGCATTCAAGACGAGTCGAGGACTTTTCGAACCCACAGTTATGTTCTTCGGACTGTGCAATTCTCTGGCAACTTTCCAGGCAATGATGAACAACATATTTCAAGACATGATCACCGAAGGATGGATCCAGATCTATATAGATGACATTCTGATCGGCGGAACAGACTGTCAGAACTGGGCGATTACGTTATTGCCCTGTACGGACTAATGGGGATATCATCACATGATCCCTCTATTATCTTGTAGTAATACGACATCTGATTACTCATGCTTAGTATACATGCTTACGCTCACAGTACCATAGGTCTTATAGTGGTATCAGAGATCCTGACTCACATGTATATATACTGGCCCTGTAGCACAGAATAAAGCAAGAGTTCAGTCGCACTTTAACAGGTTATGAGCCCCGGCCTCACGGTCACTCTACCTTCACTTTACTAGTTTCATTGCTGAAGAAGACCCCTCGGGAAACCTCGGTCCCCTTCACCCAGTTTAAACAAAGTTCATCCACGCAGTTTATGAGTAAGTCTCGTTGCGTGCTAGTGGCAGACGGAGCGCTCACGCGTTCATTCCTGCGTAATTTCTAGTGCCAAAGGATTTACCCGCTTGTCCCCCTCACTCCGTTTTCCAGCGGTACAAGCACTCTGCCAGCTACGTGCCTGCCTCTGGCAACACCAACAACACCGTTGAGACTGTCCTGTACAGTAAACGCCGCGGCAAAGAACTACGCCCACCGACTCCAGTGCTCACCCTCCCGTTCTCTCCAAACTCACACGAGGGTAGGCGCCTATGTTGCAAACAGTTCCGCGAGCGCTACGCAACTGACAAGGCTGACTTCGAGCAGTGTCTAGCTGCACGCAAAATCCAACAGGCGCGCAAACGGATCCTCGCCGGTCCATCAAAGCCGACACTCGAGCAGCGTCTCGCTGCCATCCCATCGGTGACACATACACCGATCGCCCCGAAGCCGATACTCATTGACTTCGATAAGCACACTCTTGCCGACCTCGTCCGCATCTTCACACCAAAGTTCGATGGCACGCTCAAACACCTAGACGTCTTCAAGACTCTCGAGCTCGATGATCTCAACTCCGACTGAGTTTGCAATCTCCGCAGACTCATCGAGCAACTCACGCGTATCAAACGCTGCCTAGCGGACGTTTGCAACGTCGTCAAATACGAGGAGTGGCGCAAGTGGGAATTAGGGTGTAGAGAAATAGGAAATATCTTGTTCAAAGGGCTACGCAAGAACAAAGCCTGGATTGTACAAGCGCTCAGCGCAGTTTACATGAACGGATATTTTGACGCGGTTAGGTTTTACGAGAACAAATAGATACTTTGTATACAACGCTATTGTAACAATCAGAGAAAAGTTCTGCTTGGAAACCTGACTACTGTGTGTTTATCCTAAGCGACAACAAGAGTCGTAGTTTAACTGGTCCCTTCGTCCAATCCCAACTCTATTCACCTTTCGGCTAAATCGGCTTAGCTGGGATAAGTGGTTCGCTCAATAGCGTTCACAACAATTACCTCTCAGGAGACAGAAACGATACCTGAAACCATAGAGACAAAACAGGAAACCATCGCGGAATTCAGACAGCAACTGAATATCCAGGACGACTACGACACTCCGTGGAATTCATTAACAACATACGAACAGAACATCGAGTTGTTCTTTATCCCACAGCACTTCCATTACATAGAACGTACACACGGTCCACCAACATATCGCTCGTCAGCACAGTTAATTAACCCTGACAAAGACGTAATCGATATCTTCTTTCCAACAACTTCCGACACATATTCGGACCCCTACGCCTGTTACCTTGCAAAGGAAAACGTCGAGGTTGATCTATATTATAGACTAATCAATCTAGTCTACAACCTCAAATTCTTGGAAGAAGATTGGGAATCACTTCGAGCGACACGAGCTGAATCATACGAGCTCGATCTCAGTGAATTCTTCTACAAAGTCGGATTAACGCCAATGGAACGTGAAACACTCTACGCATACACTTGCCTCCTTTTCGTACACGATAACAATGTCATCCTCTTCTGACCCTACCAAGCTCGCCACACAAACCATCCCGCAATTCTACGGCACCAACTACAAAAAGTGGTCCGACGCGATCTGAGCCTTCCTGCGTTACCAGGGCGTCTGGTATTTGATCCAGGGATACGGCTCCACAGCGACCGTTCCTGTCCCCGGTCTTGCCAGACTAATAGCTGCAACGGGTACACCCACGGCTACAGAAATTGCAGCTCAAGCTGCATGGGATGAGAAGAACGATAAGGCGCTGGGCATCATCCAGCTCTACGTCGTGCAGAATCTTTGTCATCTCGTCGATGACACGTTCTTGGCCCTGGACGCATGGACCGCAATCAAGGCCGGCTACGAGAAACCCAGAGCAGTAGGCGCATTCGTCGCCTTCCAGAAGCTGTTCAATGCACAGCTCTCTGACAGCTCTGCGCTCGGCCTGCAACTCAATGCGCTCACAGAACAGTCCAACCAGGTCAATGCAGCAGGAATAGAGGTCAAACCTCAGCTTCTTACTCTTCTCATGATCAATGCTCTCCCCAAGTTGTATCAGACCATCGCTGGTACAATTCTCACTACGCAGACTGATGTTATGCTGCTCACAGCGGCACTCATCCAGCCCAAAATTGTTGAGGAGGAACAGCGCCGCGTCACGAACCGCACTCAGATTGCGCGCATCTCGAAGGCACCTCTCCTTGACAAGAAATGTGAGAAGTGTGGTCGCAAGAATCACACGACGGAGCAGCACTGGGACACAAAGCCGGCGAATTCTGGCTCGAGTTCCGGTAACGGCAACAACACGCAGCAGCAGCAGCAAGGTGGCAGGAAGCACAAGAAGGGAAAAGGAAAGGGCAAAGCGAAGGACAATACCGCGACTACCACTCAGACAGTAAAAATACTTAGATTAGTTGATGTACCACTAGTAGCGAAGATCGAGGAGGAATCAATCTCTGTTTCTCTTTATGCTATGAGTGTCAAGTCTAAGTGGATGGTCGACAGCGGCTGTACAACACATGTCACACTGTACAAAACTGACTTTATTCGGTATCATGAATTCCCTAAGCCAGGTCATGCACACACGGCCGGCAAAGGTCAGACTATCGAAATCAAAGGTCACGGTGAAATCGCTTTGCAACATCATCTCACAGATGGACGAATTCAGCATATCTGGTTAGAAACCGTATTATACGTACCGGAAGCGGCAGAACGGTTCTTTGCGCCCAGAATGCCACTCAATAACGGTCACCGTATTGAGATGGATGGCAAGAAGTTTAAATTACTCTGCGGGTCAGACCCAACACAGCGGACAGTTTTAATGGAGGGCGAATATGAAAAGTCGTCAGGTTTATATTGGCTAGAAGCTGAAGTCCTCACTAGGACCAGTGAGATTAAGCCAGGAACATTAATGTCGGTCAAATCCGACGATCCATATACCTTGTGGCACCGTCGCTTCGGACACGCCAGGAAGAAATCAGTTGTTCAACTACCTGGTAATGTCAAAGGCGTCCTGGATAAAATCTCAGCTCCAACCAGGGATACTCCCTGTGATGGGTGCAAATTCGGGAAGTCTCGTCGCGATGCTTTTCCTGCGTCTGACAGTTGTGCAGATCATCCCCTCGACTTAATTCACATGGATCTTGTCAAATATCCGTCGTTATCACTCGACGGGTACAAGTTTGCCCTTACCACCCTCGACGACTATTCCTCATTTTGTCTGTCTCCCCTGGTATGTAATTATTAGGTGCTCATGTGCCCCGTTGTACGCACTCTAAACTCGCGGATTTAAAAAAAAAAAAAAAAAGACTATTCCTCATTTGGTTTGGTCTGGTATCTGAAACGGAAGTCTGACGCCTTCTCTGCCTTCAAGCAATTTGTCACTTGGGCGGAAACACAGGCCGAGCGCAAGCTCAAGGCTATACGTTTGAACCGTGGAGGGGAGTTTTTAGGCCGTGAATTCAACGATTTCCTAGCAGAACGCGGAATAGAGCGTCAACTCTCAGTGGCGCGAACACCACAACAGAACGGCAGAGCAGAATGCTGGCAACAAACCATACAGAATAAGGCGGAAGCTATGCGACATCATGCTGGCATGACGTCTGGGTTCTGGAAGCTAGCATCAGAGACCGCAGTACATATATATAATCGACAACCTCTGCGCTGTCATCAATGGAAGCCACCCATCACTAAATGGAATGGCACTGTTCCGGACGTATTGTACTTTCGAGTATGGGGCTGCAAAGCCTATGTCCACACACATAAGGATGTGAGGGTCAATAAGTTACAGCCAAAGGCTAAAGTCATGATCTTCATCGGATACAAAATTGGTACAAAGGGTTACCGATTCTGGGATCCAACTGCCTGGACCATCGTTGTGTCACGCGACGTCACCTTCGATGAGTCTTCCTTCCCCAAGCGAGACGATAGGCCTCGTGAGCCTGGAATGTCTCAAGATCCACTTCCACCTGTTCTACCCGACCTGCCAAACCCAGACCTAACCAGTCCGGATGACTTCACACCTGATGATCATTCCCCAGACAATGCACATCCACAACCGCGGCAAGACGAACCGCAACAAGAGGATGATGACAAAGTCAATGACGATCCAGCCGATCGTTATGAACAATATCGAAGCCCAACTCCGGAACCATACGAGCATCCGGAGATACCATTTGCTCCTGGTCCACCTTCTGGACCACCTCCACCTCAGAGAGAACACTATCGTCCTCATCAGAGCGGACAAGCCAGTCCATCTCGTCAGGCAGCACCACCTGCTCCTGATATTAGGCAACGATGGAATCTCGAACTACAATCTGTGCCACACCTGGCCAGGCCACAGTGCAAGAATGCAGGCCAACGCCGTGTTCCCAATAACAGCTATGGTGACGTCCCGCCCACAGAAGCATGGCGTCAACAGGAACGAGATATCCAACGTGATCGACGAGAAGAACGAGAAGCACGTGAAGAACATGAAGGTTCTCCAATGGAAGTCAACGATCAACTCTGTCGGAATTTATTCCAATGGATATGTCATGCTCACCAGCCTGACCCCACTACGTACCACAAGGCAATGTCTCGCCCAGATGCGAAACAGTAGGAGATCGCGATGAAAGAAGAACTCAAGTCTCAGGAGGAAAATTCCACATGGATTCTGGTCAATAGACCGAACAACCAGAGAATTGTAAAATGCAAATGGGTTTATGTGATCAAGCCCGACGGCTGCTACAAAGCACGTCTTGTGGCCAAAGGATTCACACAGATAGAGGGGATAGATTTTCAGGAAACCTTCTCTCTTGTTGCACGCTATGAAGCTATACGCTTCCTACTCGCACATGCCACACTCGAAGATTAGGAAATCGAGGCAATGGATATCAAAATGGCCTTCCTGTATGGCAAGCTCGAAGAGGAAATTTACATGGAACAACCAGAAGGCTTTGTGAAGAAAGGACAAGAAAAGATGGTGTGTCGATTAAAGAAGGCAATCTATGGTTTGCGCCAAGCCTCACGCACCTGGAACGAGAAGCTACACACTACGCTACTCGAAAATGGATTCAAACGCACGTGCTCAGATGCTGGCGTTTATGTTTACCATCACGACAAAGTCAAAGTTTACCTCATTGTTTACGTCGACGACCTTCTACCAATGGGTCCAAGTTTACCCGAGATCCAACGAGTCAAGAAAGTCCTTGCAGAGAAATTCCAAATGCGAGATCTTGGAGCCACTAGTACATTCCTTGGAATGTGGATCACTCGGGATAGAAACAACAGGTGTCTGGAAATCAACCAACAGTCGTATACCAAAGGAATCCTATCTCGATTCCAGATGCACAACTCAAAACCTTGCTACACACCGCTGCCCAAAGGCATACATCTCGAGAAGGCTGCGGAAACATATACCACTACAGACACACTCCGCCATCACTACCAGTCCATGATTGGTAGTCTCATCTACTTGATGATTGGTTCACGACCCGACATCGCCTGGGGAGTCACACGACTCTCACAGTATATGCAAAACCCTACGTCACAGCAGGTGGAAGCCGCGAAGCACATCTTCCGGTATCTCCGTCATACCACCGAGTATCGTATCCGGTACTCTGGCTCAAATCAGTCCGGTTTGATAGGGTATTCAGACGCAGACTGGGGCAAAAATCGGGATAACCGGCGATCAACAACTTGTTTCGTTTTCTTGATGGCTGATGGAGCAATCACATGGGCATCTCAGATGCAGAAGACAGTGGCAAGATCCTCGACGGAAGCAGAATACATGGCACTCTCGGAGGCATGCTCTGAGTTAGCCTGGCTAACGTCACTCCAAAAAGAGTTAGGTTACTTTCCTACTGCACCACCACCTCTGGTAGCAGACAACCAAGGAGGAATCTTTCTCGCAGTCAACCCCGCTCACGACCGAAGGCTCAAGCACGTTGACATTCGATATCACTTCATACGCAAATACGTAGAAGAAAAACGAGTGAATATAGTCTACGTTAGTACAGACAAAATGATCGCCGACACATTGACAAAACCACTTGGTGCAACGAAATTCGAGTGCTTCCGGTCTATGCTAGGCTTGGTCTTCAGTAGATTAGGCAATAACTAGTCGAGTGGGAGTGTCAGAACTGGGCGATTACGTTATTGCCCTGTATGGACTAATGGGGATATCATCACATGATCCCTCTATTATCTTGTAGTAATACGACATCTGATTACTCATGCTTAGTATACATGCTTACGCTCACAGTACCATAGGTCTTATAGCGGTATCAGAGGTCCTGGCTCACATGTATATATACTGGCCCTGTAGCACAGAATAAAGCAAGAGTTCAGTCGCACTTTAACACAGACTCAGCGGACATCCGGTGCAAAACGATTCAAGTCGTTGAACGACTTCAAGAAAACGACTTATATCTTAAACCGGAGAAATGTGTCTTTGATGTCAAGAAGGTAGAACTCCTGGGCATGATTGTTTCACACAACAAGATCGAAATGGATCCAGTAAAAGTCAATGGCGTACTACAATGGCCTACTCCCACCATGGTCAAACAAATATGAGGATTCCTAGGCTTCGGAAACTTCTACAGAAGATTCATTGATCATTACTCTGATATTGTACGACCACTGGTGGATCTTACCAAGAAAGATGCACCATTTATTTGGACCTCGGAATGTCAGACAGCCTTCGACGAACTCAAACGGCGATTCACCATGGCCCCTGTCCTACTAATGCCAGATCAAACCAAGTCATTTGTTCTGGAATGCGACGCATCACTAGTTGCAACCGCTGCAGTACTTCACCAACAGGATGTTAATGGCGACTGGCACCCAATCGCCTATCTCTCTCAGTCCCTCCTACCGGCCGAACGAAACTACAAGATCTACGATTGCAAACTTCTTGCCATCATCAGAGTGTTGGAAGCATGGCGACATTACCTCCTCGGGACGCAATTTCCACTTCAGATATTGACTGACCATAAGAACCTAACATACTTTTGCGCAGCCAGACGGCTCAACTGGAGACAAGCAAGATGGCAATTATTCCTCTCCCAGTTTGATTTCACACTCCATCATTGCCCAAGTTCGCAACTAGTACAGTCGGACGCTCTCACCCAAAATTCTGAACCCTCCCATTCCACAGACGACAATGTTGATCAAATCCTCCTGCCAGACACGCTTTTTGCGGAAACGAACATTCGCTCACTACACATCGCTCAATCTCTGCTGACGCAATTGGATGGCCCACAACACTTCACTGCGACAAATACCGATGAGGCGTTACTAGATCGCATTAGAAAGACGGGACGAACAGACGACTACGCAAACTCCATCCGTACGGCAATGCAAAATAGCGCAATCCCATTTCCCACATGGACGACCATGGATGATTGGATGGAAAACAACGGCGTCCTATACTACCAATCCCAATGCTATGTACCATCTGACCTCGCACTTTGCTGAGAGGTCACAAAGCTCTACCATGATGTCCCAGTGTCCAGACACCCCGGACGGTTCAAAACAGCAGAATTACTGACGCGTAACTTCTTCTGGCCAGGAATACGATCGTTCATGTCCAGTTACGTTCAAGGATGTGCGGCATGCCAGCAGATGAAAGTCAACACTCATCCGACCACTCCACCACTGCAACCGATACGAGCAACCCACCAGTCTAGGCCTTTCGCATTCATTACATGCAACTTCATCACCGCACTACCGCTCTCGCAAGGTTTTACATCCTTAATGGTTGTGGTTGACCATGACTCTACGAAGGGGGTAATTATAATCCCCTGCACAGAAAGGACGGATGCAACAATGACGGCAACGTTCTATCACAACCACGTTTTCCAGAGATTTGGAATGCTGGACAAGTTCCTGTCCGATCGAGGACCTCAATTCGACTCCCTCGTCTTGAAAGAACTATGGAAGCTAACTGGTGTAGAAGGACGAATGAGCAGGGCGTATCACCCACAGACCAATGGAGAAACTGAACACATGAATAGGGAAATCAAGGCATATTTCCGGATATTCTGTTCTAACCATCCTCACGATTGGGCCGACTACATTCCCAACCTCGAATTTGCATTCAATAATTGGGAACATTCCGCGACAAAACATTCGCCGTTCTTTCTCATGTTCGGCTCACATCCTAAGGCACTACCAATGAACTTCGCACAATCAAAAGTTCTGTCAATTCAACAATGGCTTCGAATAAGGCAAAAAGCCCATGAAGAAGCAGGAGCGGCCTTAGATTATGCCATGACTCAAATGGCAAGAAGATTGCATTGGAAATTCACCCCATTCACCGAAGGTCAGAAGTTATGGCTGGAGATGACTCACCACGAAGATGGCTACCCCTTTAAGAAGATGGCACCCAAGAGACACGGACCGTTCAAGATACAGAAGGTTCTTTCGAAGCTAGTATACAAACTAGCCCTTCCAAGCACTATGAAGATCCACCCCGTGATACACGCTTCCCTGCTCACTCCATACCACGAGACACCACAGCATGGGAAGAACTTCCTAGAACCACCACCGGAGATCGTAGATGGGCACGATGAATACGAGATGGAAGCAATTCTCACACACCAGCCCTGGTACGGACATCGCTGGTATTTAGTCAAGTGGAAACACCAACCCACGGCCGAGAATTCATGGGAACCAGAAGGCAACCTGAAGAATGCAGCGAAAATCCTGAAAAGGTATAAAGAGGTCAAAGGAATCCCCCCAACCACTCAGCAGCCAACTTCCAAGTCGACTACTATAGCATGGCCCCTTACTCATTCCGCTACCACAACAGCAGTCCCGAGGCTACTCTCGGAGAGACTACACCTCCCGCATCCCCGATTTCCTCCTCTCCGGTTCAAGAGAAAACTTTGGTTGACTGCGACAGCCCCGAACCTGAACTCACCACCAACGATGTCCAGCAAGGGATTGCCACGGCTCTCAAAGAAATTGCTGGCAAATTCGGGCGACACCAGGAAGAGAACCCCGAACCCATCCCAATTCCTCTGAGATTCCACTTCGGAACCCGCGTCCGCATCACCGCTCAAAACACCAACCCCTTCGACGACGAATTTGACCCCAACGACTCTTCTGCGCACCTTGCTTACCTCAGAGACATTGTCAACAACCCCCAACGTCGTAGAGAATGGATCAACAAGATTGACAACATTGCCCATAACCAAACAGTGCTCCAGGCCTTACTCAATGCGACCGACGACACAACTTCCGGCGTGCTATTTGCAGGAATTGTGGAGAAAGGACGAGAAGTCCAAGCCGGGTTCAACAAGGTGGCAAGGGACGGACGAGCCATCAAGGAGGCAGTCAAGGCAATTCAAAGGAATGCAGTCGATCTTTCTTGATGAATCGAGAAACTTAACCGCACCTTTGACGACTTTTGTGTAACAGCACTTGCCTACACGGCAACTGATCAAAACGCCACAGAAGCTGTTAACCGCGTCTGGACACAAGAATTTGGTAACATCAACGTCGACCACCTCGAGCCTGGAGAACTCCTTGTCGGACCATGCACTAGTCAGCGGGTTCGTAACCCTCGCAATCCCCCTCACCCTATGTATCGCACCTGCGCCTCTCGTAATTCTGGCTCGCATTCTTCGCACGAAGGCTCTCAATCCTTTCGAGTACAGACGTCATGCTCACGCTCTCCTAACCACACGCGCTTTACGTTCCAAAGGGCTGCGGACGAATTCTTCACTCCCCCAGAGTCCTCCTCAACAGCTCCTCGACGAACGACTCCATACCTGCAACGTCGCCGCTCTGGTAGCCCAATTACTACTGGAGTCATTGGTCACACTTTCCCTGGGAACTCCGAGGCTAACCCCGTTATCCTCGATTGAAATACTCCTACAAGACTTATTCGCGAAGCTCATTGGCTAGAGAAGGAGCTAATGTTACGATCGGTCCATCATCCTGATATATGTTTTTTCTTTACTCTTTATTTCCAGACAGTAAGTGCCTACTCAAATGTGCTACCCTTTTCCAGACAAGTCATTTCCGGTCCATTTCCAGACCACTTCCATTTCCCGGACGTTCTCGTACATACGTTGTCCCTTCTCTGCTGATCTCGCAGTAGCTAGGTTAGTATAAATACCAGCCGGAAATGTCGTGTACTTTAGCTTCGGCCTCCTGTATTATCAGTCACTCTTCTATATCATTTCCGGACTTTGTACAAGTCCATGTTCTACATTCTACGACTCTTACAGAGAGGTGAGCACCCATGCAACACATTGCCTGAGAGTGCCCAAAAATACACACAGATGCACAGACGTGAACGTACGTGCACGTACATGCATGCGCATGCACGAGCGCAAACTAAAGCGCAACGTCACCAAACTGGAACTGGGCGGCGGCGTAAATCTCGAACTCACATCAGCGCTACCGTACGGGCCGAAGTGCATGTAGGTGCACTTTCTTGCGCGTTGGTGTTCCAAAGGGTATCTAGCTGAGTACATATCATGCGGGTTAGCTGTGCGATTGTCAACATTTTGCACCAGCGTGCACAAAGGTGCACTTTGTAATAAGCTTGCGCACTGCCGTCATAGCTGCCCAACGAGTTTGACATGGGCGATAGCGAGTTTGATGGGGATGATAGCGAGTTTGACACAGTCAGTAGTGCACGTATGTGCACTTTTGTGTGCAGCTGTGCATCACCATGTACATTAGCACACCATAATGTGCTAATGCGCACAGCTGTGAACGCAGTACTATAGTAAGTGAATGTACCCTCACTTGTTGTCAATCATGCGCAGCAAGAACCAGGTTTCCATTGCGAGTTTTGATTTTTGTCCATCAAAGACTGTGATAGGTATGGGCGATTCCTCAGAGCTCCCGGCCTATCAGCCGGGTTTGGGTACAGATTTTCCCTCCGCGTGAGGGGTCCCAACGGCCGTTTTGGGTACGGATTGTCCTCAGGCCCTCCCACCAATTGTCATGGGTCCTGGGCGGATGGGTGCTAGCCCCTGAGAAATCAGCAGCCAGCGCACTCGAAGTCACATGAAAGCGTCGGGCACTGGGGCGGCGCATCACTTCTATTTTTAGTACTTGACACTGCCTTTTTGGAGGGGTTCAGCCAATCATGACAGTAATTCCCACGGCTGATTGCGCGACTGGATGCGGTACTGGATGTGGTACTATGATGGTACCCTGCTTTATAAAATTTGGGAAAATTTGCATCCTGTAGCTTACCACGCTCATGCTTCGCAGGCGGTTTTGCATGAGACGATGTGTACACACCTTAGCTATATATTCGTATTTTTATAATATTTTATTGAGGTCTTGCAAGAGCAGCGGATCCTTTCCGGTGCACAAAGTAGGCCCTGCACCACTTTTTATAAATCTCGTCACAAGTGTCACACCAGATGCCGTCGAGCCGTGTCTCTGCCGAGAAGCCGAGCCGTCTCTCCAGAGTCAACCTCAGTTGTTTGAGATCAGGCGGAGCGACAATTTCATCACGCCTTGCTCGTTCATTGTAACGCTCCACTAATGTTCCTTCCCTGTACATGTACATAGCACCTTGTAAACCAAATATGTTGACCAGTCATGTCTGGTGTAAGTACAAAAGTCTATGGATGCAGTCGCCAGAATATTTGGTGAGCGAGATCTGGTTGGATCTAGCCATCAGTAGCATTTTTCGGCCAGTTTTGGACCACTTCCGAGCATCCACAAAAACATCATATCGTCCCTTGCTGCACACCCGCCATGATATGGGTGTCATATTATAGTATGAATACAAGTCTACCATGAAAAATATTCACAGCACCTCCGGGGGCATATTGCAGCAGCAAGATCGATTTTATAAAGCAAGGAGCCTTTATAAACCAGGGGGCCATCATAGTACTGGATGCGGTACTGGAGATGATTTCCAGTCGCACCTCGCGCGGAACTGGATGCGGGTTTTGCCCGTTGTGTGTGTACCCTGAGAAAAACGCCACACTGAGACCACCAGCTTTGTGGTGTCGGTATCTGACCGAGATCCGCATAATACTCAAAGGCCCACCGGCTTCCAAACTAGAAGATGGATATCATTCGGAACCAGCTCGCAGTGGCTATCCAACTTGAAGCTGTAAAACCCTGTTTCACGCTGCCCGAGTATCGATTGTTTGTGGTGCAGAATGATGCTAGAAGTTGGTGAGCAGTTCCACTCAAGTCTGTAACTGATCGGCGTTTGTAGGCCCAGGCTGTTAGTACGCTCGGGGCCCAAGACAGTCCCGGTGCGAGACAAAGGATGGTCGGTACATGCGAACGGCGTGCCCGACAGTGTTCGTTTCACTTACGTCGGCGTCGTTTCGCATGAGCCTTGCAAACCTGTTTTGGCTCGGGGACTGGGAGCACGCCCTACATTAGGCGCGTAGTGCAGAGCTCCAGACGGTATTTATGTCGCCTCTCGCACTGCGGAATACGACTAATTTCCTTGGATTTCACTGCTCCTCTGCCGTAGTCACAATGCGCACGCCGGATTTCTTGCGCGACTCCTTCTTCGGCCGAATTGCCTACTACGTGTCCGGCAGACGTCTGTTCCGACACCCTGAGGAGCAACCTGACTTCGTGCTGCCTTCCCGCTATGCTATCCACATGGCCGGCTCCGGTCAGCGGGCAAGTCATTCAGCGAGCTCGACGTCGTTGCGCGACCTTTCGCCTACCGGATTGGCCGCAAGGGACATGTACGCATCGG